AGCAAATCAGACAAAAGTTAGACAGGCCAAGGAATATTGACACAAAATAAACAGATCGACCAAATTTTTGTTAAGTTATAACACACACAAAAAAGTTAGTTTTTTGCTTGCCTTTCTTGTAAAATTTCATTTTTGGCACGTACGTTTTTCTGTCATGAGACAGCAGATTTAATTAGTAAAATAAATGGCTTTACCTGCTCTGGGTTTTTGTTGTTTCGTTGTTGTCTCCAGTTTTTTGTGCCTCGACCACGTTTCTGCGCAATCTTTCAACAACATTTGGACACTGGGATTGCTTTGAAAATAGCACGAGGTGCACGTTCAACAGTATGAGAATAAAACATGTCAGTTGAAGGCTACGGTTCTTCCAACTACGTTTTCCTAGCATTGTCTTGCGTGAGGGTATACTGTCAAACACACTTGAGAATTATTGGAAGTCGATGTTTGCGTGACTTCAAGAGTTATCCCTTCACAGAGTTGTTTATCGTCTGAAGTTGTTGTGAGCAGTTCCTCCTAACACCGGGCAAACATCAGCTAGATATGAAAACCAACAAAAAGAAAACAAACGGGAAAATTAACGATAAAAGGACCGGCCAAATTGTTTGCTTCTGTGGAAAAAAAATTGAAAGAAAACGAACAGAAAAACATGCAGTCAAAGATTCTATAATTCTATACTTTAGCACATTTGACGTAATTTCTTGTTACCTTCTCACAAGAGATTACTTAATTTTTTTTTTTTTGAGGAGGGGGGGAGGGGAATATTTTTAACATTTATACGAGCTATGGAGCACCCCTGAGGAGCTAACACGATGCCGCCTTGGGGACAGTCTGGAGGAGCCAATAATAATAATAATACTACATTTTTAGATACATCGATACTTATGTTTTCCACTGGGTTGTCCCTCCCTTGTACGACCCAAACAGTTAAAAAAAAATTTTTAATGTTAGGGTCAGGGTTAAGGTAAGGGTTAGGGTCAGGGTTGAGGTTAAGGTTAGGGTTAGGATTACGTTTCGTGTTAGGGTTCAGGATAATGTTAGAGTCAGGGTTAAGGTAAGGGTTATCGTTGAGATTAGGATTAGGTTTAGGGTTAGGGTTTTTGTGTTATCAGATTTCTAAACATCCTTCGGCTTCCGAGAGTTTAGGTTCAGTGAATTTGGAGTAAGTTCCATTCGTATATTATGATCACAAGCATTGTAGCAGTAGCTATTTTTGTTGGCATGCCCTTTGTATAAGCCACTGAAGAAAGAACAAAGATAAACGCGTTTGCTCCTCTGCATTCGAGACAACTATAATACTCACTTTGCCTCATTTAGTAATTCAATTTAGAAGGTAGAACACCAAGTCCCCTTTAAGAAAGCTGGTTTGAGCCGATAGAACACTTAAAAATTAATTCATTACCTTTCCAGAACTCAAATATTGAACTTTTAAAAGTCTTCTTTTTTTAGAGAAGAAAAATTTTCCGTCGCCACCCGGATTCGAACCCGGGACCTTTTGAATGAGAGGTGAACACCTTAACCTCTAGGCCACGAGAACCCCCTGAGCTACCTGTATTCAAAGTATTTGACAAGGTTAGATAGTCCTGTTCAGATTTACTGTAACTGTCATTATCCTCTTCAACTGCATAAACACATTATAAGACAACTGAGTGTTCTCCCAGGGTTGGCGGTTTTGTTGGTAATTTTTTTTTATAGCAGAGACACCACCACCAAGCCTTCCGCAGCCGTCCCATAGGCCAAGCTTCACCAACATTTCTTGAGGGAAAAAGTGAGAGGTCAGCAAATAGGTCCAAACACCCACCAACACACACCCACACCCACACCCACTCTCCCCCTTCACACACACACACACACACACACACACACACACACACACACACACACACAC